TTTACCAATTAATTAAATGAAGATCCACATGTACAAAAGTTTTCTTTTATTTGTCATGTGCCTGATGTCTTTACATTCATAAGACCTGCAGTACTGGGATGTAGGTATTTAACTGTATTCAGCAAAACTGGAATCTGAAGGAAATGTTGAAAATACAATTTTTAATAAATATTATATGAATAATATTACAAAATATTAATGAAAAGAAATATCTAGCATCCAAAATGGAAATGGCATGGAGAGAGGGGCTGTTTTCCATCCATGTTTCAAAACATTTCCTATAAATTGCTCTTAGCGACCAAATTCATCTCTATGGCCAAGTCAATAGAGAGAATACCTGCTGGATTTGAGTCTTTAATCTAAAACTTTTGTTTTTCCTTTCTCAGTTTTCTTTTTGGTTACTATTTTTAGAATGCCAGCTCTGTTGAAAAATCACCCAGACAAATGGCTCCTAATCCTTTGAAAGCAAGGTCAAACTTTTTTATGGCTAGTTATGAAATTCTGATTGGGCCAGCTCTTAGTTGAATAAAATGCTTATTTTTTACTGTCTTGTCTTAAAGGTCTAAAATAATAGCCTTTGACTTTAGCTTTCAAAAGTGGCAACATCTTCTTTGCTTATATTTTTTATTGCCTTCTTCCCAGTCAGATATCCTCTATATACGCTAGAACACTACTTCATTATCTCCTGTTGCGTTTGATAACTGAAAGTTCCAGTCCAAATATCTCAAGGACACCAAGTTGGGAAAGGTAGTTCCAGTTTGTAAACATTGCTCTGGGCAGATTTTGGCTAGATAAGTAAATTCAATAGAATGAAGTAAAACTCCTTTGAGTGGCATTGCTTATTCCAGCAAGTGAGCAACACAGGAATTCAATTTATTAACAGAAACCTTTGCTTTCAGAAGAAGAGCTGGTTTTTGGCTAGGACTTATATTGTCCAATATAAGGTAGTTGATGCAGGGATAGGAGAATGATTTTGTTCATTAGGTTTAGGTGTTTCAGAATGAAAGGCAGCTGCTGGTTTAATTAGTCAGTCAATCTTCTAAGCCAGGGGTGTCAAACTGCTGGCCAGCGGGCCGGATGCGTCACGTGGAAGCCGCGCCCACCCTTTGCCGGCAATGGCAAAACTGGCCCAATACGTTGCGCGACATCACGTGACGTTGCAAGTTTGACATGATTGTTCTAAGCAGTTCCAAGCAATATAGTCAATAGGCATTGGATGTTACCCTTCCTTCCTTAGGCTCTTTGTGCTGAACATAAACTATTCCGCTATTTGGTCTAGCCTGGATTTAAAAGATTACCCCAGCCTTCTTTTAGTAGTCAGAAAAGAGTAAGATCAGTTAATCCATGGCTAGATCCTCCTCCCTTGAAATGGTAATATTAAGACAGAGTTTCAGGATCATGAGCAACTTCACAGCCCAGTTATTCAAGCTGCATTTTTGTTCAGATAATGACAATTTCATAGCAGCACAGATTCATCTGAAAGCACAAGAGCTTTTCCACATACAAAAGATTAATTAATCTGAACTATCAGTCCTTCTGACATTATAGTATATCAATCCATAGTGGCTAAGCAGTCCCCTTTACCCTCCTTCTACATAGGGATAGGCTCTGGTTCATAATTCATAACTTCCTTGGTTTCTAATCTATTCCATCTGACTTTATTCATGTAAAGAGAATGATAGATTCATATTATGAGCAGATCATCATAAAGAAGTTTTCCTCAGTCATTGCTGCCATAAAGACTGATAGTTCTAGGCTACAAAGTGGACAGTTTCATCTTAACAAAATACATTCTGCTTGAAGGAAATAAGAGGCACCGAGACCTCAAAAAACCTGAAATTATGTAACATTTATGAGTGGCAATAACTATTGTCTCCTGAAGATCCTTGTAAAAGCCATCTTCCACTAGTGCCATGCAGATGTGTTAAACTATAACTCTCAAGCTAGGTAAATTGTAAAAATCTTGGAGACAAGTGTGGAAAGTTTGCACAGTTATCTAACTTTGTTGATCAAGACCACTTTGGATCCTATGTTGTTTACAATTAAAATCTATGTTAAACAGATGGAGGGTTACAAAAAGACTTCATTGATAATAAAATAGAGAAAATGGTGAATGAAAAAGCTCTACAAAAATACAGGAAGCCAAGAAAACATTAATTTTGTACTTCTTACACATTATATTGTTCATTTCATTTCATACCCTTGGCTCAGGGAAAGCAGTGCAAAATTCGATCCTTCCATTAGCAATATTATTTTTTGTTACTAATTTTTATCCAGATGGTCAGTATTCTTGGCAAGCATTCATTAGTTCAAAAATACAAATCCTTCTAGCTTACATTTCTGCTTAGTTAAGGAGGAGTTAAAGCAGTTTTAGACAGAGAAATGGGCTATAGGCATACTTAGATAGGTCTTGTGCTCCTCCTTGTTGGCATGTGACCACAGCTCGAGTGTATGCTCTTTACAATGATCATTATCTTTACTTATATCCTATTAAGTATTTTGTTTCTCCAAATTGGGCCCCTCATCATGCCTAAGAAGGACAAATTGTTCAAAATGAAATGGGGGGAGGGAGGAAGAGACTAAAGGAACAATCTATGTTCTAAAGCAGTCCAGTGAAAACTAGGCGTCCTCAATGGCTACAGAACAATGGGATAAGATGAGGAAGGAATTGTGTATGCTACAAAAGAATTTGGATGGTTATCTGGTACAATAAATAAAAATGAATTCTCCATTGCAACCTTTTAAGTGTGTCCTGAATTGTTATATTACACTTACATAAGAGGAAAATAAATCAGCACTGACTTCACAAGATTCCTTTATAGCAAGATCATTGAGAAAAAAGACACTATAAATACATTCTATATAAGGACTAGGTAAGTGCAAAATGTAGCATATGAAGTCGGAAAATGTTCCTTCTCACTTCCTAAAAACACATTTTTAAAAAGAGAAAATACTGAAAATCTGGGCAATATCACCTGAATTCTCAGAACTATATAAGGCCAAAGGTATTTGGCACAATCTATCTATCTACAGGCCTTGTAACTGATTTGCCAGTATAAACCCAACAGGCTCCACCATGAGGGAAAGCAAGAGGCAGCGACAGGAGCCATAAGAAGATGATAGATTTAGCACAGGGGCATTGGCAGTGGAGGGGGAGATGACTAAATGAGCACCACGCCATCGTGTCTGTTTTGTAAATATGTTGTGAGGCCTCATGTACAAACAAAAGGAATAAAGCTGGCATCACAATGATACAATGCTCATTTAGTCAGTTTGACAAAAGCACTGCTGCAGATGCCTCTGGGTGAATATGTTCTACTACTAAAATTTTAGCCGATGGAAGAAAAAAAATGTGAAAGACCCGAGGTAAGAAATTTGACACTTTTTGGTTGTCTCCTCTCACATGCTCGGCTGGAATAAGAACTAAACAGATGTAGTGCTTAGATTAAAAAACAGTCTGCTGTGGATTGTTTGGGCTCCATTTCCTCAATGAGGCACTCTGCCATGAGATTAAAGTGAGGCTGAATTGCCTCAAGAAATCATTTTGCTCTGATGTCAAAGAGTTTTGCATGCATAGAAGATCTATCCAGTAAAGTAAAACAGCCATACTGCTGTTCAAAAATGAGGAATTGTATTGAGCGGTTTTGCACTGGAGAGATGCCTTTACCCAAGCTTTCAACAAGGTACTGTATCTCTTCATATGTCTGCATGGCACTACTGAAAAAGCAGAGATGTGCATTATGGAGAACCTAATCATTATGTCTTCCTATCGCAGAAGCTAAAATTCAGACTTGTATTTTATTTGATCAAACCTAAAGGTTGCAAAAGCTTATGGCTGTGGAGTGCACTGACTCCTCCTATAGTCTAGAAGTTGGCAAATGTGCCTCAAAGAACATTGGTAGGACATTTATAGGACATTAGAGGCCGGGTGCTGGCTTGACATCTAAAATTTCAATTTTGAATGTAAAACACATCAATATCAATAGAAACTACACTGACATTTTCTTGAGACAAATTCTTGTGATCAGAAGATTTATATAGCTAGTCTAAAGAGTTCCTTAAGTATATTATAAATCCTGGGGGAGGGGAGGGTCGTTTCATATGAGATTGCTCTTCAGTTGTCCCAAACTTAATGCCTGATAGAGATCAATGTCAAGACTGATTGGAGTTGCAATCAAAATCAACTAGTTAGGGGAATACTTGTGTATTGATGGCTATTTGTTTGGCAAATCATATAAATGACATCCAAGGCTAAATGTTTAAAGGTATATATTCAGCCTTGCTTAAACTGTTACTTTCCAGATGTATTTTTTCCCAAGTTTTGTAATCCTCAGCCAGCAGGACTGTGCTGACTGGAGATTAGTAGAGTTGAGTTCCAGCACATCTGAATGGCAACAGACTCAAGACACCTCCTATAAAAAGGATCTATTACCCTGTGTCCCCAAAATAATGTGAGAGAAAATGAATGAAAAAAAAAGAGATTTGCAAGCACATTGATAAACCGTACAAAACTGGAAAAAGTGATAATGTTGCTGTCCATTAAGAGATGCACTACAACAATCCATTCTCCCTTTGATCACAGTTTTCTGACCTCTTGTGCTTTTCAGAAAGAAATGATATGGAATGGCACAAGAAGGGGAGCCCACATGCAAATTGTGCATAGGTTGTGCTGCTGATTCAACTCTGTGTGCATCTGATGCAAGCTGCAAGGATCCAGGAAGTGGATTTAAGTTACTGGAAGTAATCCAGTCAGCACCAATTTCAGTTGGAGGGATTGTGGGAGTGAAATTCACAGAAAAGTATAACAAGAAAAAGGTAAACTGAAACTGAAAACACTATTAACTCAGGAGGCTCCTTCCTATGGAACCAAAAGGAGAGATGACTAAACACAGAACATAATTCCTAGAACTGAAGAGCAAACGGCATGGCCCAGATCAACCAAATAAAATAAAGTGGAGGAGAAAAGTGTTTATTGGGAGTTTGAAAGTAAAAAAGACCTTCATGCAGATTAAATAAGGAGGGTACAAAGACAAGAGTTAACAGTCTTACTAGGTCTTTGCCTATGTTGATTGTGGCAAGAAAGTCGAAGGGCAGCAACTGCAGGAAACGGCTCCAAGAGCAGCAATGACGCTTCCACTCTCATGATTTCTGGGGTTTGCTTTTCTTTATTTTATTAAAAAAAAAATCCTCATTTTAGGGTTCCACAGACTTGGCTATTGCCCTGTCTGTTAGCACTGCCCCTGCAGAAATACAGCAGCCAGCTCTGTGTGGCTATCTCCAGTCTCTTGCCTTACACAAGAACATTTATGTTGGGAACACTGGATGTGTGGGATTTCTTGATGCTCCCCAATTATACTGTAAAACCAGGAGTTTATGACAGAGGCAGAAAGCCCAAGAATAAAACCCACCATTCTCTTACCACCAGAGTTATTGGAGGTGGAGGGAGAGCAGTATCTTGCAAAGGAGACCCAACTGTCTCCTCTTTCACTGTTCACCTGCACAGATCCCAAAGGAAGTGATGGGCACTCTGTGGTGTTTATCCAGACCACAGGTTCCAGAGAAAAAAGAAAGAAGGCCTAGGAGCGAAGACAACCAAGATTGGCTCATTTGTCTCCATTCCATTGTAATCCAGTTATTTTTAGAGTGCAGACTGCACATTGGGGTCCAAGGTTTCTCGGTCAGGAGACTCAATGTAGTTGGCTGCTTCCTGGAGCTTCAGCAACATTGCCATCTGTATAAGTAGGATGAAAGACTCATAAGTAATGATTAAATATACCAACTTTTCTCAGCTTGATGCCTTCTCGTGTATTGAGGCTCCCCTTCTTTTCAACAGTGGCTGACAATTATGGGAGTCAGTGTTACAATACACCTGGAAAGCAGCAGAAGTAAGGCAGGTAGGTGCAGATGTAAGTCAATAGATGTACTTCAGATTGAAAATAATCTGCTACAATGAATATATAGGGTACCAAGATCACCACAGAGAGGAAGGAATAACTGTGATTATTTAAAATCATATACATTTTTCATCTGTGTTGGATAAGAGGGGAGCTAAGAGAATGGAAAACATGTACAGTTCTACAAAGAGGAAGTCGAAGACAATTTACACAGATATTTGCATAATACAAGTTTATGTTTCATAATCTACCAGCCTTATTTGCAATTATACTATGTATCTGGTATTTTATTTTTATTCAGGTAAAAATTCATACTGTGACACTTTGAATCTGAAAGGGATGTGAGAAGGGGCTAACACCGCTTTGCAACCCCATTAATATTTTTATGGGATTAAGATAAGAGCAAATGTGGTCAGTGAAGACAGGCTAACTAAAACAGAAGAAGCATATTGTCTGTTCCAAGTCCAGAATTTGGGACTCCCTCTAATATCACTCATCCATTATAATTTCTGTATGTGTACTACTCTGTCAGGATCTTACATTTTATATCCTTTTTATAGGAGCAATCACTTCCAGGATCTTTATCTCACAATCACTTGCTACCATCAATTTCTGTTTGGGTCAACAAAGGAATATATGAGATTCTGTCCTATATCATCCGTAACTCATCAATCATTATGTACATAAGTATTCCATGTAGTTTTCTCAGTTGGTATGTGGTGCTCTTTCTTTGACTTACACATCTTTGCCACCTTGTGGTCATATCATGACAATGCCATAGCATAATCACTTAGGCTTTGTCTTTTGTGAAGGTCATTATGCTTTCTGAAGAGGTCAACAAGCAGTCTTGATTATATGGAAGAGGAGAATAGAGATTTGTCTTCCCCATGTTAACTTGTGCATTCAGTCCATTGCTCTAGTGTTATTTCAGATATAAGACATGAGGGGAGGGAGAAACAGGGGTTCTAAAACAGAGAGGGACATAATGGAGAAACAGCCACTCTGACAACTTTACAATTGCCTCCAGTCATAGAGTAATTAAGCTAACAAATTAGCAAGGGCTGTCAATTTTTGACAAAATGAAAATTGATGAGAATAACTTTTCTATTCCTGTAATCTATGGTGTTTGAAAAAAAATTAATAGATCTTTCCATTAGTGGCAAGAGCAGGGATATTAATTCAGGAACATGATTCTGAGCAAACGAAGGCGGATATACGTACGTGTCCCAGGATAATGTTGTAGGATCCAATCTGGGTCGGTCACTGGGATGAGAGGCTTTGTCTTCCAAGCTTTCAGAGTCAGGCTGGAGCCCCCATCTTCAGGGAACGTCTCTCTCTCTTGTGACCAACCCAGATTGGATGATTCTGAGCTCTCAATTTAATTCTCTTGTGCAAAGAATCAGTAGCAACTATTCTCATTTGCAAGCTGAAAACATACCAAGGGATCTGATTCCAGAGAATTGGGTGTAGAATCCTTGCCACTCCGTTCCTCTGGAGGAGATACTATGCTGTGGGGCCCCACACTGGGTGGGGGAAGATGATACAATTTTGATTGGTCTTGCTGGGCTGATGGCCAAGGCAACGTGTCTCTCACCCACTCCACAGGGTCCTCCCAAGCAGCTTTCTGCCCATGCACCTGCAACACAGAAGGGTGAGAAAGAATACTGACACTTGCTAGGGACAAGCAACATACACATGCACCTAGTCTTCCAGTTCCTTCACTGGGAAACAAAGTAGAGCTTAGAACATATTCAAGGCAATGGAGGACAAGATTGGAAGGAACCGCTTTTCTGTAGGATTTTATGAATAATTCAGAGTAAAAGGAAATAGCAACCTGTAGCTGAGTAACATATGTGCATATTGATGCAGGCTTTAGCCACATCACTAGTTCTTCTAGAAGAGATAAGGATGCATGGAAAATTACCTTGATCCCATCCTTTGCTCCTTCCTGAAGGTAGGGGATAATTGAATTGTTCCATAGATCAATAAACCAGGTTCGGAAATCCTCAATACCAATTGGGCATGACAGGAAGAAACAAGGACCTGGGGGGAAAAAAACAGTAAAGGGAAGAAGGTAAACTACTAGCCAATGGAGGAATATCAGCCAAAAATGTAGACTAAAGAAAATAAAGATTATGTAAAATAATATTCTAATAAAGAATAAATAAAGAAGAATAACATAGAAAATTAACATAGAGTGACTAGAGTGACTCTAAGTATATGCATATTACTTTTCCCTCACAATGAATTAACTGCAAGGAACTCAAATGGGGGGCCGAAGCTTCCATGCAGTGTCTTAATCCTTCTTTTATTAGTCTGAAATAAGATGCAATGTGATGGTGAGGTTCATTTCAGCTTACTGGATGATAAAAGCTTAGGCTTACCAATGAGAAAGTCAGAAGTGCTATGCTTCTCCAAGAAGGTATGGAGGTGATACCAGAGCTTTGGCACCCAGTCCAACACACGTAACAGCTCGTCCCGGTTGGCATTGACATCACTGTCAGATTCAAGCAGCTTCCGACGTAAATAGCGCACCAGGAAGCCATTAGCTGGCTCCACGTTATTGGAGAAAGTCAGCATCCTACAAGTAATATGATATGTTGGTCATGGCAAAAAAAGGAAAGTGTGCTCAAAGTAAGCAAATTATCCTCTTCCATTGTCTTTTCTAGATTAAAATATTGAGTAAGAGAAAAAACTTTACATTTTCCTCATCCCAGAAAACAATCTGCATATAGTGCATGCTCCCCAAATATGGGGAGTATGACCTTGACAGTATAGAAGAGACATTCTAAATAGACATTGTGTAGTAATTACCTGAAACTGAGGTGGAGGCCATGGTTTGGAGTCATCTTAACAGGCTGGTTAGTTGTTCCAATTATGTAAGGGCTGATGGGGAAGAAAAAGAAAATTGCATATGGTGTATTTGCATTTTGGATGGGGGGAACATTTTATTTATTTACAGGACTTATATGACTGCCTCTCTGACATAATGACTTTAGGTGGCTCACAACGTATTCAGGGCTTCTTTATTCTGACCTTCCACCATTTTCAATAGAGCTGTGGGGGGAGGGATGGTTTTTGTTTTGGGGTTTGTTTGTTTTTGGGTGCCTTCAAGTCAATGTTGATTCCTGAAGACTGAAATACTGAAGATAAAATAGTGTGGCCACCTTTTTCTGGTAGCTTCACAGTACGATATTTTATTGCACTGCTCTAGGGCACAATAAAACATACTCTTAATTATTTTGATTACAGTATTAGGAGTTTGAGACATTAGATGATCTATCAGTCAAATGACAACCTGCTCTATGGTCCTGAAGAGGAAAGTTACAACCCTTCCTGCCTACTCCAGGTTGGTCATCCAAACTAAGGATAAGAAAGTTCTCTTGTTTAATGCGATTCAAGAGAAAATAATGCCATATGCCTGAAATAATAGTGCCATGTCATTCACAAAAAGCTATCATTGTTAGGTACAGGATAGGCAGGGAAAAAAAAACAATTTAGCATAATCTGGAAATCCTTGTAATTTACATAGATTACAGGGCAGGATCTTTATTTTGGTATTTGTTAGTTCAATACCAATACATATCTTAGTTTCTCACCATTTGTGATACTTGCAGGTAAGTGCTCCATTGACAAGCTCACTGATGGAGCCAGGCTCACTGAGATCATCTAAGAGAATAACTAATGGAACATCAATCCCTGTTTCCCGATCAATCTGATTGGCTAGATTGGAGAGGTAAAGCTGTAAGTCCTGGTGCAAACAATGAAAGTAAAATGTTATTGTATCAATATAGAGAGAATATTCAGAAACATCGCAATGCAGAAACACAGGGACATCAGGAAAAATTCACTGGGTAGTGGGCTTAGGGCTGAGAACCACTAGTTAGGACTGAAGGGGAAAACTGACAAAGGGCTGGAAAAATAGATTCATGAAAATTAAGACTTCAATGCCATGTCTCAGAACAAGTTCCATTGAAATTAAATCTAGAATTACGTGAAAAATGAATGGTTCCATAAGGATAAATTGTTTCAACTAAAATAACAGAGGAACCTATGACTAAGACCTATGACTATAGCAGGGGTGTCAAACTTGCAGGCCGGTTTCATCATACCAGAGCCGCGCCCACCCCATTGCCGGCAATGGCAAAAAAGCTCCAATACGTTGCGCGATGTCACGTGATGTTGCGAGTTTGACATGTCTGATGTAAAGGTTTGAGTTAAGATCTGGAGGTACTGTCCTAGTGACTATTCAGAAATGAAACAATTAAAAGTTTTTTTACCTTGCATGATTGCTGGTGCATGTTGAAAGTATTAACGATGCCTTCGGTAACCTCACGGCCTGAACGTTCCACCAGATATTCAGCCAGACGATTGGTCAGGTAGGTCTTGCCAGTTCCACTTGGTCCAGAGAGAATAAGGCGCCGGTGCTTAAGTAGAAGGCTTATGTAGTGCTGCATCATTGGTTTGGGGATAAGAGTCTCAAACACCAGGCTGTCCACACATTTTTCTTTCAAACCTACGACCAAGAATATTACAAGAAACCTTCATAACATCATATAGTAGCCTCAGTTTTGCATTATAATGGTCCTTCATGTGCCGGAACAATTTCCTTCTTTTTGTAGCAATCTTCAATTGTTTACCCCAGTTTCTTCCTAGCTACAGTTAGTCAGAAATATGCATACTGTAAAAGTCTCATGCTTACAGATGTCATTACTCCTACTTGGAAAGACACTTAATAAACACATTTTGCATCAGATTGAAAAGGACTAATGAGGAAGGCATTCAGATAACCTATCATTAATTATTCAGACTCCCAATTTGAGAAATACCAGATTAAACAACAAATCTCAAAGGGTCTTGAAACTGAGATTCATTTCCATCTAATATCAAAACCAGAGAGAATGCTATTCTAACATAAACAAGTACAATTCTTTGCATATAATTAGTACAGCATAGTGCTACACTGTTACAGTCATCGTCATCACCTAATTCTGGAATCAGAAGTGCTTTCCAGAGGCTCTCTTAATCCTGTTGCTTTTGCCTCCCTGTCAGTCATTTAGAAATACATAGTTAAGAACTAATGGAAAAAGCCGGACCTTTCAAAGTCACAGCAATGCTGGTCACACCCCGGCGGGAAGGAGGTAGTTCTGGTGGCTCCGTGTCCAAGATTCTTTTAACATGGTTGATGCTGTAGCCATAGACAGACTCAGTGCTGAGTCCCAGAGTCAGACCAGGGTCCATCTTGGTGACATAATCCTAAACAAAGGACAGAAGGTTTTCCAATTAGTGAGGCTCTCAAAGTACTTAATGCTACACTTGTTCTAAGAATACAGTGAAGAAACACGATGCTTTTTAGAAATAAGATCAGGTATAAAGATAAATAATAATCGCTACTACAAATATGACTTAAAAACAACAACAAAATTCCCACATAGCATCATGTACCTTGTTCATTGATCCACTGTACTCTCTCCCTGGTTTTTCAGTTCTTCCTGTTAGACACTTTCTGTGGCCACTAAGCAACCTCAGCCTGCACTGGGTTATTTTAAGAATACATGTTGTTTTTCTTTTTTTTTTTCTTTTCTTTTTTTTTTCTTTTCCTCTTTGCATTTCCTACAACTGGTATCTTTCTTTTGTAGTTGACTTTGTCCACATTAAATTTAAATATTTAAATTTAAATATTTAAATTTTATCATTTAGGTAAATATTCTATGAATATGTGCAATAACTTCACTTGCATTGGTAAAGATTGATAGCAAAGATGAACTGCCCTCCTTAGACTGATATGATTAAAGGTCCACAGCTAATAAAAAAAATCACCATTTTCACGTATTCACTGAATTATTCATATCATGTATGGAAAGGTCAAATGTTAATTAACTTTCTTATGCAAAAGATTAAATTGCAGCAGACAGCCCCTAGTTTGGCCATACAATGGTGAAGGAAGAAACCTTGTTTGTGTATGTGTGTGTAGAGGGTGTGTGTGTGTGGTGGTGTATTGGTTATCTTTATTAGGTCCATCTTATCTTTTTCTCTCTGCCATTCCTCTCTGCCTCATTCCTCTGCTATTCTGAGATTCTTTTTAACTTAATAGTATGGAAGAGGGTCAGCAGGAAAATAGCACTTAAAAGTTCTGTCCTTGAAGCCCAGGAAGAGAAAGTAACATAAGACTGAGCTGTGAATGCTTGAATCCAAAATTTAGTCCTCTAGATATCTGAAATAAAGTTTTTGAAGACAGAAGTGTAGCAAAAAGGTTGTGTTAATTAGCAACTTACCTTGAAAACCTGACAGACAGCTTCATCCAGCATTTTCCAGTCCAATTTGCCATTCACTTTGCTACTGCCCAAATAAAACTCCTGCTGCTTCAAGTCCTGGAAGCCAAACCAGAGGTACAATATGGTTGGAGTTGTTTACAATGGCAAAATGGATCATCTCATTAAAATTATATCTCCTCCCCCAAAATATGTTGCACATGAGACATACTGTCCCAAACAGTGACCTCTCCGATCTTGTGATGGTACTTACTCCTTTGATGATGTGCTGAGGTGGCATGCGCACTACTATTCGTAGTACCATTTCATCCTTCTGGGTACCAGCACTGATGCCATCCATTGGCGACAGTTCTGGAAAAGCAAAATTCAAGCACCTCATTTTAACCATTGAGAAATCCTGCCTATCACAGACTGAAATTGAGTTAGTCCACTAAAAAATTCTATTCATTTTCCCCCCTCCACCGAGTCCAGAAAGTAGAAGAAACATTTTTCTTTAAAATTAAAATTATTTTAAAAATTATTTCAAAATTTCAAAATTAAAATTTGATGGGACAACTAAGAACTTTGTTTTATTTTGTTTGAATTTAGTAGACTACAGAGAAAGCTCTTATGATTTGAGTAAAGCCTCATGAGGCTCATATCCAACATTTTTCTGCATCAACTTTCTTTAAAATCTGTCATCAATTCTGGTTTTAAGCCGCTTCCAGCTTTCTATTTTTCTCATATCTTCTCAAAAGCTGAACAATCCTGGCATTTCTATTTTGTTTTTCTTTTTTAAATAACTCATTCATTCCAAAAGCTAGAAATGCAACTTATGTAGTGCTCTGGTCAAGCTTTCACAAATACTGCCTTTTTCATGTTGATAATAATTTCTGATGAATAATTCTATGAATACCATCAGCTTAATCGGTGATTCTTTTTTCTCTGGTGTATATTTTAATGCCTTCTTTAATAAATAAATCACTATTTTTTAGAACTTTGTCTATACTTTTTTGGAACATCAGATTTTCCTTCCTCTGATTCAATTTCACGACAGCCCCATGTGTGTATGAGATGGTTAGATATACAGACACATGCATGCAAGTGTGTACACTGTAAAATTATTCTTTGGCTATAATCTTATGCTTTTTCTCCTGGGACATCTGTTCATATATCAAATGTTTCTCTCTCCCCCCCCCACCAGATTCTAACACAGAATTTCCTTTATTTTAGATCAAAGCGCATCTTTTTCTTTACTCTGGTTCAACTTTCCCCTTCCCTTTTAGATTTTCCCTTTGAGAGAAAGTTCTGTTCATAAAACAATATACACAACGGTCTGTGTATATTACCAACAGGAATTTGCAAAGCAATTTGTGTATAAGGAGCCATTCCTTATACAGAACAGCTGGTTTCCAATAGTTATGGGTTCAAAAGAAAAATTCCATTTTGTGCACACCCCTAATTATTACATGTCACATTTTCCCTGACATAAACACGACTTCATACAGCCTATATCATCACCCTCTCTTTCCCCTCTTTCCCCTCCGAAACCAATTTTGATTCTACCTTTTAAGCATAAATAAGAACAATATGAGAAGATTATGACTGAGAGGCGGAAAGTAAGTTGCTATCTATAGTTTGGTGATTCTGCTTTCCCCTTTTCTTACCCGTATCAGTTAAACTGGGACTGAAAGAGTGGCTCAGCTGTAATCCTAAGGAGCGCCTTGGGGAGGATGCAGCGGATGAACTCAAAACATGGCTTGGGATAGATGATGGCCCAGGTACTACCTTTAGCCGGTCATTTTCAGCTTTCAATAGATCTACTTCCAACTAAAGGAAATGAACAAAGAGCAAAGGCTGGGATGATATACCTAATAAGAACAACAATATTCATTCATACCATTCATTTATTTAGTGGTGGTAGAACTGATCTGAGCAGTTTACATATCCTGTTTAGATAAATGTGATTAAAAAGTGCAAAATTAAAACCAAGACGACAAAAACATAGCATCATAATAAATAAAACTCTACATTTGTTACAGTTCGATTACAGAAATAGTAACAGCAATAGTTTATTGATTAGTCTTATGATCATATTGTAATTACAGGAAGAAGCAGCTTATAACAATTGTATTGAAAAAACCAATTTTGGCAGCCTTTCTGAAACCCAGGAGGATAGGGACTATTCTGATCGGAGTGGTATCAGTGTTCGAAAGAAAGGGACAACTTAAAAGAACTACTGCCAACCTCTGAAGATGGCAATTGAACCGAACTAAACTGCTCTGTTGGATCTTACAATAAGACAAGCAAAACCAATCTGAGGAAGGCAATCCTGAAGATATCCAGGTCCTATGTCGTGCACTTTGAATTGTGCTTGGCAATCAACATTATGGATTCCAGAGACTAAAGACTCAGTAGTAAATCCTAAACTTGAGCCATTGGAAAAAGAGGTCTTTAAAACCAAATGTAGTTTTTGCATTTCTTTTCCACCAGACAGCAGGTGTTTGGTAGCACTTCATTTTGTTCATTAGCATTGATGTCAAACCTGCAGTAGTGAAAGTTAAGCAATATAGAGGACAGCAAAACAAAATTTCCTAAGCAAAAGAAAATTGTGTTGAGCTCCAAAACTACCACTTAATTCTTTCCTGTGCTCTCTCTCTCTCACTGTTTTTCCCTAACAACCTTTATTTTTATTTTTTTCACTTGTTCTGAAACAATGTACATGTTTGGAATATTATTAGGACAGGAAATGGTTCAAATGACATATCTTGTTAGCCATAGCTAACCTTAACATATCTTGTTAACCATAGCTAAGCATCTGACCTTATTTAATTTTTTAATCTCAAGAAATATGTGGGGCAGTGATCCACGCTGTGACCATGATGAGTTTAAAAAGTAGAAAAGAGCTTCCACCGGCACTAAAGAGGCTCTTGACCTTTAAAAAAAAATTCCTTACATTGGGGAAAGGAATTTGGAATTAATCAAAACCTGTAAGGATCAATAACCCATGCACAACTGTTTAAACAGTGATAAAAAATAAAATTAGCAGTATCAGCTACATGCAATGTAGGGCATGTATCATAAAATTGTTTTATTGTTTAATGAAAACACCAAACAGGCATTCAGAAATTGGTCCCCATAGCAATGTACAAACTGTAATCTGAGCCACAATGTCCAGCTCTGCAGAGCACCAGTCCTACCTGCATATTGTGCATCGTTTCACGCAGCTGATCCAGCTGATGGGCAGAGTTTAAGGCTTCCAAACGTATGTCAGTCAGTTTCATTTCTTTTTCCCATAGCTCTGAGCGTAATTCTGAAACCTCCTTTTTCTCAGGTTCTTCTTCATTGGCCTGGAAAAGTCTGTGTAGGGAATGAAAAGCCATTAAAACAGAAGATAAAAGACAATGACATGCAGAG